CGGGGGAAGGCAGCATCGCTGCTTCCATAAATATGGACATGCTGGTCGCCTGGGAGAAACGCCTTACTGCCTTCACACTCCTGTCGCAGAGCACAGTACGACTTTACCCCCAGACCGCCCCGTACCACGATTACTCGTAGTACGGGGTCTCGCTGCTCTTGGTCTGGCTGCTCCCCTTTGGCCTTCCTGGCATGGTTGCACCTTGTGGAACGAAGTTCCAGCCAGTGTAGCCCGCGGGATCATTGCAGCACTGAAGCCCGACCACCACGTCAAGGTGGCAGCTTTAGGTCGGGTCCCACCGACCCAACACTTGTTCAACCACTCCAACACACTAAAATCCCTCGGGCGACACCCAACAGTGATTTAGCTTGATTGGTTCTCCTTCCGCCTTAAACCTCGACCAACCTCCGAACCTAGTCACTTGGCCTGAGGAAGCTTTTGTATCAAAAGCGAAACGTTGCCCAGCAATAAATATACCGATTGTCACCAAACTTTTTCAAAACTTCAGGTCAGGTTTGACCAGTGATTGTTCAAAACTGCAACTTAACTTGGCTGGAATTCGAGTTAAGGTAACCAGGAAACGAAAGTGTATTATTTGGTACCGATTGTCACCAAACTTTTTCAAAAATGATCTTCAGGTTTGACCAGTGATTGTTCAAAACTGCAACTTAACTTGGCTGGAATTCGAGTTAAGGTAACCAGGAAACGAAAGTGTGATGTATTATTTGGTAGATTGCATCCGTTGTTACGATCTAAGTTGATTTGGTCATCATAGTCGATATTCCTTATACCGAAAATTTTCATTGTTCTCCATGTTTTCTGAGTAACGGAAACCATGCGTGGAAGGCATACGACATGGTAGGCGTTGATGAATGATGTTACAGAAAGTTTAGATACCGCTTACCTCTCAGGATGTGCTCCACATAGCCCTTTCCGTGCTTCGCTGGAGGTACTGAAAGATATGACAGTTAACCGTTGTCCAGATAGCTTAGCGGTTAAGGCACGAACTTACTGATCAGTAGGTCCTTGTTTCGAACATAACATTGACATCTCTACTGCTACTGTCTAGACAGTATCTTGGTCCTCGTGTTTCTTTGCGTGTAACTTGGTAGCTTGGCACCAAAAAGGTGTTACAGCTGAAAACGATGATAACGGATATCTGTAGCTCTAATGTTGTCAGTTCCCATTTAGATTGTCTGAGTGCTAAAGTTTTTGGCATCTCGGATGTTTATGAAAGGCTAACCCTAATCTCTCTCGTTTGCTGTTTTTTATTTCAACGAAAAAGACTATTAACTTTGTACAGTATTGAGGTATCAGTGTTCTCGGATGTTGCCACCATTGATGACGATGACAAACCAGCTTGTGCCTGTGGTGTACTACATTTCTAAGAGACTCATACGACCTGTATGTATGCTGCTTACGCGAATGCTGCTAATCGATTGAAAAAAAGAAATGGTGTCTTGTCCACACCGGCTTCTGAGATGAAAACTTCCTTACTGTCCTGGCTAGGATACGAACGATTGTTACGTCTTGTTTGCATTTTGTTAACTTCTGCCGCTTTTCTTTACTGCAATCTCTAAGGGTTCTGAATTAATTTATGGCGTAAGCAGCGACTCACACTCAGGAATTCATAGGCTTGTGAAATTGTCAATTTTCGTCCAAGTTCCAGTCCCCGAGTGACCAAGCTCAAGCGACACAGCAACAACCGAGAAGCCTGTTTTGGTGTCTTTTTCTACTTTGTTTCTCACCGGTGTACACGCCACACCATAATGTTTGCAGCTTAGTGGCGATATACAATTGGACTGCTCATTCTTTCTTCCAGTTGATTCTTTAATCCATGGCATAGTTTCTCCGGTCATCGAAAATGAGATACGTCATGTACCCTAAGGACCAACGGTCGTGCGTACTGCGCATCGTGCTCCTATGTTGTGTGGCCAACTTTATCAATGCAGCTGACAGAGTTATAATGCCCATTGCCATTATACCCATCTCTGACCACTACAAATGGGATCTACATCAACATGGATGGATTCTAAGTGCTTTCTCCATCGGTTATATGAGCAGCATGGTAATTGTTTACTATACAAGAGATTGCTTTTTCAGATTATTGGTGGGAGCGCAGCCAAACGGTACGGCGGCAGCACCATTCTACTTCTAGCTGTGTTGCTCTGGTCTTTGTCATCCTTTGTCACACCTTGGTTTGCCTATTCTTCAACGGCATTAGTCGTGCTGCGATTTCTTTTAGGGATCGGTGAGGGAATAGGTAAGTGGAATTGCTCTTCTTGCCACATTCATTTTGTCTATAATTTGTGATTCGTTAGTTCGTGATCGCCGGTGCTTACCTACTGACCAGATTACTCTGCATTGATGAGCTAGTCTCAGTAGTGAAGTGGCATGGTCGTGAACTCCCAAAGTTGGTACGAGTACAGAGTCTCGCTTTTTTTACGGGAATGCACTCCCATTTCATGTACAGGCCTGGGTCCCTGTCTAGGCTTGGACAACCTGGTAGTATCCCAGCCCTCGTGCTTCCTTCTGGTGGCATGGCAGTTAGGCACCAAAAGGGTACTACAGCTGAACGATTTTCTCTACAGCCGGATGCGACTGCACGGTAGCAAGTAGTAGGATCATCGCTGCATCCCTCTACCCAGAATGGTATTCCGCTAGTCTTAATCGCATTGTTCGCTATTTAACCCTCTTCGCGAATAAATGGCATCCCCACTTATTCTTGACTGATTTAGCTGTCTTATTGGAGCGAGGGGTGAGAGTTCATTGCTTCCAAGTGCGAACAACCACTCAGTGTGAGTTATACATCAGGTTAGGATAACGGATATAGGTATGGAAATCCAATCCATCGAAGGTGGGGAGCACGCTGCGTCGATGTTCCTTTTTCACAATTATGGGCTACCGTCTCGGATCAGTTATCCATCTTAGTTTCTATGTATCGGTTGACAAAATTTTGGCATTTTAGTGTAACTATCTCATCCATGTACGTGAACCAACTTTCGTCTACAATCAGCCGCAACGCACCATCCTTAGTAGCATGCCTGGTGCCTGAGTTTATGTTCTGTGAGGGTTGCTCTTATATGTTTAACTCGCTTTAAGTAGCTCTCGTCCGTTTGTCGTTGTGTCAATCAAGTTTGGACTAAAGTGCACTTCATGACTGCAGTTGTTTAGCCGCATACTTCCTGCTTAAAATTAGCCACCTCTAGGAGGGACTGATGAAGCGTTCAACTTTTTTTCATGATTCTTTACCACATCTAAGGTGGTTGGCCAATTCCGCACTGCAACAGCCAGTGCTATTTCGTGATCAGCTCTACCTTTCACGCTTTCTAACGTTCCAGGTTTACCGACGATTGTGCACATATTTTCCCTCCTGGTTCCGGTTGACGAAAGAAGTCGAGCGCTCGGTTATCTCGTAGCATTTGGTTCTTTTGGACAGATTTTGGCCACTCTTGTGTGTCCGTACTTATTCTGGCCCCTATCGTTCTACTTGTTTGGTGGCTTTGGCTTTATTTGGCTTTTCTTTTGGCTGTTGGTGTTCCGCGATGTACGACGATGTGAACGAATGGAAGAGGACTTTTTCACTCCACAAACACGGGTTAGTATGCATTTTGCTTGTTCGGGTTTTTTATCCGCAGACTACAACAATGTAGTGGTTGCCCCAGTTTACGAATCCGGTGGCACTTAGGTTACTCGTTTTTAAGTCTCCAGTGCACAAAGATTTAACAAGACGATTCGTTTTCACAAATTTCGGGAGGTGATAGGCTGTTTTTTTGGCATAAAACGCAGAACATCAATTTCAAGTGTTTAATGAAGTCGTAATTCTAATGTATCGCTGCCTTATACGTGCAAAGTAACAATAAGGCTGCCGTAATTTATTGACTTCTCACCGCGCCTGAGTACTCTTTGACGGCATTTATCTTTGAGTATTCAATTTTCGAAAAATTTTGAATTGATGCGTGGCTATCAGTTTGGCCTAAGTAGGGTATTCACAGTATGTACAGCATTCGGTGTGTGAATAAATCCCTTTAGTCAATGTTTGTCCACTCAGTGTAATGTCTAGACCATGCTGAAAAGTCTACAGAGTCAAGTTAAAGCTTTTTAGCTAAGCCTGATGAAGTTTTCAGATGATTTTCGACAGTGATTGTGAACAATCATCAGAATGAAATAGCGAAACATTCTGTACGGGCTCACAAGGTCGGTCACCGTTGCCGACTATTGTTTTGATAATGATACTTCCGTCTGGGGAAGTACCACCGCGTATCTTGAATGAACCTTATGCAACTTACCACTCCGCCCCGTGGGTTATGGTGCTGGCCTCTCATCCTTCAAAACCAATTGAATATTCACAACACAGCGGGATTTTGCCACTTCCCACAACTTTATTTCCTCGCTGTCCATGGTTTGACATTGATTCAGTTCGTCACTTTTCATCCTCTTTCCCCCCTCTCACTGAAACACATCTCCGATTTCCTGTTCGAGATGCAGTTCGTACCTGATTCGTATATACTTTATGATTTCTCCTCTCCTCTCTCTCTGTGTGTCTTTCGACTACCGGATGTCGACCGTTGCTTGCCTGATTTCCGATATTTTCGGCTCGAATTCACCCGCTCCCAAGTTAACTGTTTTACGGCAGTGAAGCATCGGTGTTGAACACTGATGTCATGCTGTCGATGATGATGATGATGATTATCGATGTTTTTGTGGAAATCGTATCAATGACTTCCCTTATAGGTTGTCAACTGCAAACATGCTACAGCCTTGTTTCACTGCTAAACTCCATATTGTCAGCGATTTCATTGGCCACAACTCATACTGACTATCCTTCTCGTCGCACGCAGACACAGCGGTCGTGAAGCAGATCTTTTCATGGTCACCTTGCCCCAAACACTACTGAACTAAAGATTGCGTGATTGATTTACCACAGAGTCTAGACCACGTCTTGCCCGCCCAACCCGCCTCATGGTCACCTTGCCCCAAACACTACTGAACTAAAGATTGCGTGATTGATTTACCACAGAGTCTAGAGTCTTGCTTGCCCGCCCAACCCGCCTCATATTTGATTGCTTCCTCTGCCGACGTCGGCCGTCCCGAATTTGGCGTTGTTATTTGTCTTCATTTATCCCCCACTGCCCCTCATACACCTCCGCCTACCGGTGGCGATGGCATGTCTCGTTGAAGTTCTGGAGCCAAACCGCTCCGTAGTTCGAATCCGACATCTGTATCCCGATTACTGTTGTCTAGGCTTCGGCAGCCTGACAGCATCTCGACTATTGTGCTTACTTTGGGTGGCATGGCACTCAAGCACCGAAAGAGTATTCCAACTGGACCAAATGACTTCTCCGTGTTTTGTAAAACAATAACTTCCTCAGAGATCACTTCAATAGCAAGATGGCTCAGCGGTTAGAGCGCGAATTTACTGACCGGAAGTTCCGTGATTCGAACTCGAACTCTGCTATTTCCTGTTCGCGTTCCCGACTCTAATTTTCCTCAACGCTATATTCGTCCTGCCACATTGTTTCTTCTTGACAAACAGTTTTAAGATTCCGGTTCAGCTCGCAACTTTTCGGATGATGAAGCCGTCCACCTTTTCAGTTGTTATCCCACTTCCATAAATGACCTTATCTGGGATTATTACATGACCTCAGGCCACTGAAAGGTGATTTGATTTTAGTTTGTTTAATGCCAACCTTCCCCTTCATTGACTCTGAACTTATCATTTAATCATTTAACCGTCCGCTTCATGATCTTTCCTTTTCAAAGAACTTAACTTGACGCGCGCCTGCGAATTCACTTGCTGCATGAGTTTCGTTGGGATGTTAGTAGCTCGGGTGTGTTCACTATGGGTGTTGATAAGTGCCAAACTTGTTGAACAAGTTACTTTACTTTTTGTTCTCGTGAATATGTCTCAATTTCCCCCCTCAAGATCTACTGTACAGGTCCCATGTCCACTCCATTATAGAGCACTGGGATCAGAATGGCGTCTTATACTCATCACTTCTGTGTACTATTCGATGAAAAGCCGCGCGTTGGCTTGTTGAATGTGCGAAAGCTTCCCTTTATCATTACTTTCATGCTAAACTATAAACTTTTTTTCCATCGTATTTCGACAGTCGTTCAGTCACCCATCTATGCTTCTCAGTCACCCATATAAATTTTCAGGCTTGTATTACCTAGGGGTACTATTTCTTCCGCTTTTGTCCCCAGGACTGCTTGTTTTTGGAAATTTCCATTTTATACTATCCCAGGTCCTTATAGTCTTCAGATATTCACGATTCTAGATATTTTCCATCTCCGAAACCTCCTTGGTATTTTTTGGAGGCTTACGCAATATTGGTGCGTTTTTTCTGTTCCTCTAGCTGTTTCGTGTTTTGTAACCACTGTAGCTGTATCACCCTTTCGGTGCCTAGCTGCCATGCCACCCGAAGAAGGCACGAGGGCTGGGACACTGTCAGGTTGCCTTAGCCTACACAGGGGAAGTCGATAGGCAGAGGTTAGTTCGAACCACGGAGCTTCTGGTCAGTATATTCGCGCACTAACCACTGAGCCGTCTTGCCCCCCTAGTTAAATTCGAACTCAAGCCCAATTCTTATGTCCCCTTCGAGGATAGACAACTGGTCAAATAACATTCACCAGCAACCAGATCACTCAACCAGCAATCTGGCATAAAGAATCTCTGCTCTATGCAATGAGTCGGTGAACTAATTCGCTAGGTCTGACCTACTGCTTGGTACACTAACACCTCATGCAACTGAGTTCCTTTCAGCTTCACAAATCTTACAAATTCATTACTACCGTCTACTTTGATTGTTAAACGGTTCCGTGGTATAATTCTGAAACCAAAATCTCGTTCTAGTCGATAAATTCACGTGTTATACACTTTTCGGATGCACGGGGTCGTAGTGGCATATATGCAGATTTGGATCTGTTCAACCTAAGTGTTCTGTGCATGGATATTAACTTTTGATACTCCAGAAGAACTCGACATCAATACTGTTTTCTGGGGTTTCTGGGGGTCCCTTGATCAGTGACGTTTGTTTGAGTGTAACAACCCATTCTGTTTGCACCGTCTATCTTTACAGAATCAAAAACCTGAAATTAGAGTTACGTTTCGAATAAAAACTTGACAGAAGGGAGTCACTCAATTGATCGGGTGTGCTAAATCTCGATGGGGTTGCATTACTCAGAAATGAAAACTTCCATTAATCGGGATAGCGAAAGTGTGATGTATCACGTATGAGAACATTGTAGACCTTGACGCTCTACCGTGAACATTCACGTGCTAATTGGGTTCTTGAAGCTACTGTGCCCTTCATTACGTTCTTACTTAGGCTTAAGGAATTTAGAAACAATACCGTTGTTGCCATGGCTTTGTGGACACAAATACGTGTTGGGAGATCACGTGGTACCTGATCAGGTAAATGCATACACCATTTTGTCATTGCTCTATCGTTGCCGTACTGTTATAATGAATCACATAAGGAAATCTGAGAAGACTAGATTCCTGGAATTTCGATTGCCCTTCCAGCCATTCTATCCGGCATATGTCAGGCTGCACCATTTACTTAATGGTAACTGTGCTACCATCGCTCTGACATGATCCATTTAAGCGAAAGGGGTTATCTTTCGATTCCTGTTGGTTTAGACCGGAGGGGAGAGGCACGGAACTCTCACAGTTCTCATTCCAGTACATCAATAATACATATCGCTGGACATTAGAAGGTTCGAATTCCGAGCGTGTGTACGATTACTCCATGAGTATCCCAGCCCTTGTGCTTCCTTCGGGTGGCATGGCAGCTAGGCACCAGGAGGGTGCTACAGCTGAACGCTTTCTTTCTTTCCTTTTCTTTCTTCCTCCATCAGATCGCGCGGTATGAACTAGAATTATGGTGTCTAACCGGTCGAACACCTATTGACCAGACTAGTTGCACTGCTAGTGCACTGCTCGAACGAGATGGATGTGGAAAAAAATTACTGGGATTCTGTCATGTTTTTTAGGATTAAGGTGAAGGTCATCAGCAGCACAACTCAGTACTGAGGCACACTCGCTGTTGGTACTTGGAAGCACGACCCAGTAAAAGTCGGTCAGACATTCAGACGAGATATACCACCTTTCATCCTTTAATCACAGAAATCCAATTTCGTGGACATGTACTGACTGGCGATGACGTCATTCACGGCTGAGGGGTTAGGTTTTCAACCACTGGCCGGAGGGTCACAGCTTCGAAACTCGCCTAGTCTGGTGACCTGTTCAATGCTACTGATTCCCAGTAAGGATGAAACAGCTCTATAGTCCTCCTTCGATTGTCATATCTCCTCGAATTACAAGCAGTTCTTTGCTTCCTTCTCTGATACCTTACGCAACACAGAGCCAATGCGTTCCTTCATGCGATTCGGCTCAGTATACAGTGGTACAATTTTTCTCAAACTTCTAGCACCGTCTGGTACCTGGACAATGCCATTTTCCCCAAATATGCACAGTATTTAATCAGAGAATTCGTTCACCGACAGGTGTTCGATGTTTAGGAAAGCGATACGTTGCGCTCCTAGTCTTGGTTTGATATGGATACGCTTTTTTTCCTGGCATTCACTCAATGGCCTGTATGTTCGTTCACATCCGCAGCTCTCCAAGCCGGCTGTACATTGGTACGAATTTCTGTCACGCTGGCCTTTATGGGCAATCTATATTGCCCATTTCTCGATGAACTGGTCCAACTACATCATAATGCAATGGCTACCGACCTACCTCACGCGATTCCTAGGGGCCGGAAAGGGGGGTATTATGCTCACAGCTCTGCCCTATCTGAGCAACAGTGTCGCAAGTATTGGTAAGTTCCCCACTTTTCCCATTTTCTGGATGGCTTGTCCGGTGTGCCTAATTTTGCTATGAGCTTTGTTAGTTAGGCATACTATTGATCATTTTTTCTGACCACTGGGTACTAGTAGTGACGGCGGTGGGCCTTGCCGTCCAGATCCATTTTCTTCTTGACTTCTGACTGCTGACTCCTCCATTGGTGCACAGAATGGCTTCAGACTGGTGATCGCAACCTGTCGACTTCTGTCTTCTTTGTCATGTTCCCTTTCAGCCAGTTGACTGTAGAATGATGTTAGTGCGGTGTCAAACCGTTGCCTGGATCAGTGTCATTCCTTGTTTACTGGGGTATTACACTTGGATTCATTTCGACAGCTTTCTCTCCACCGAGCAGGTCACTAGAATAGGTGTGTTCCTTGCCACTCGAAAACTACCTTGTCTTGCTACCGTCGCAGTAGGCAACAGCCGCATTTACTGATTACTTTTACATGACGCCTGTCAATCACTATTTTCAGTGATAAAAAGATGTCACACATTTGCTAATAACTAAAATGTTTTCATCGTATAGCGGCCGATCTGCTCATCACATCAGCAGCAACAATTGACAAGTGTTTGTCAAATGATGCTTTACTCATAAAATCAGATCGCATAGGTTGTATATGAAAGAATACTGCACACAAATGTCTGTCTGATATTCGGTGATCTATTCAAAACAGTATGATAAAACAACAACGACCGTTGTTGCGGTTGTCAGATATCACGCGTTAGCCGTTGGTATTCCTCCGAAAATCCTCAGGACAACATACGACAATTCTGCTGTAACTCATCCAATGGTGCAGATACGCTGATCTGACCTCGTCGCTTCATTGATTTTTGTGTGCCAGACCAGACTGTGGTTGCAATTCCGTCCGAAATTCTCGATACGGTTGAGGTGTGCAGTGTAAAGACTATTGTTGTATTTGTTGTTTTGTTTTTATTCGCCATATACAGGTAGACAGATATGAGCTTTTTCTAGAAGGAAAAGGCGTTTTTACGAACAAGTTGTACGACAGTGCTATCCGAAACCGGATTGTGGAAACTTTACCCAACCTTTGCTCTGGAAGTTATTATGGACTTAGCAAGAAGAAACAGGGAAAGATGTGAACTTGATACCGGCTTATCGTGTTAACCCTAGCGTATTATTTCGAGATGACTACTATCAAGCGCGAGTTATTGACGGGAAAGTTTATGGTTTAGACTAAACATGGCTTCTCGGTGCCCAGTGCTTGAATGGTTCAAGTGGTTAGAGCGCGAATTTACTGCCGGGGGGTTCCGGGTTCGAACCCCGACCTCTGCCTCTCGACTTCCCCTGTCTAGGCTTGGGCGACCTGACAGTATCCCAGTCCTCGTGTTGCAGCTGGTTGATTAAAATTATTATTATTTAAAATGCTTAAATCTGGTCGTCCGTACATTTTGACCCCCGTGGTACTTTCTGGTTGATGACTGCGGTACATCGAAACGATCTCTTGGCTGAATGGTTCCATTTGGTTTAGAATTGGTGGTTGGAAATTTCATGGGCGCTCATAACACCTACCTAATGTATTCGTAATACCTAGGTACCATGTATATCCAGAGATAGAGACATTTAATCAGATAAGGGATAAGGGTTAGCGAAATTAAAGACAAGCAATAGGAAAAGGGAAGCTAAACGCGGAAAGTTCAGGGCGTCGCATACCTAGCTGACAAAAGTCATTTGGAGTCTGTGATTCCTAGCCCACTGAAGAAAAGCTGCAACTTCTTTTTCGATATGCACGTTGAGGGGAGAACTAAAACATCGCTTCTACGCTCAGCCCTCACAATTTTCCTGGTGAATTATTTCCTGGGATATTAATTTTTCCGATACCGTTTGGCGTCGTATCAACGTTAAAGGAGAAATACTGATATTGTGAGTGATCTCTGCTGGGAAATCGGATGGGATGCGACTGCGAACCAGTGTCAACTGTGCATCGGATGTTCAGAGTTAGGTGTTTCGGATTACTTGTGATTGAATTAATACCACAACATTGCTTTCCCATAAGCTTACGTCGCTCAATCGCTTGTAAGAAGACACAAAAGACATTTGACACTAGTGTTCCAATGGGCTTCCGGCTCCATAGTCCTGAAATTCAGATAGTCAGACACTGCTTTTAGTGAGGAGGTGTTTGTTCGCTATTATTTCAAACCTGGTACCAGCTCACACACTCATTTCAGACCTGTAGCTGTAAGTCGTCGAATTTACTGCTCGTATGTGTAACTGGATACCTTAATATTATTCCTACAATCGTGCCTTCTGCGCTTGGCTTGAGTCTAATAACTGAGTCTGATAACTGGGTGTTGTAGGATAATAATGTTCTAAATACTCTCAAATGCATACTAACTTGGTTTTCATGAGAGACTCGGCAGAACCTGGCTGAATCTATCGTTTATTATGGTCTTCTTCAACTGAATGTGCTGCTCAAGACCGCCCCTTGTTTCAGTCGGTATAATATGAGAGTTATCGCAATGCATTTCTTATATGTAGCACACTACTCATAAGATTGCTGAAAACTTTGACAGCCCACGACCGGTTTCGGCAGCTGAGAAATAAGGCGACCAGATGTAGCACATCTAGTTGGGGAAGACTATCCATCAACTAGAGATTCAGCTGGATTTCGGGGATTGAGCTTACCTATTTACTTACTGACCATCCGATGAGGCCCAATAGGGATGGAACCATCTGGGACACTCGATTTTTCAGCAATCCTGTGAATAGTGTTACGCATGGATAATTTAATATCGTTATTTAACCGAAAATCTGAACGATTTAGTATGGTAGAAGACGAGTAAGGTCACAGTCCCTACGGTTTTGATAAAATTCTTCGCTGTTCTCTGATCTTTCACACACCTTCGCTTGACAGTTTGGTTTCAATTTGCTGGTCTTTCGTTTATTTGCTGGGATTGGTACATTGTTTGTCAACTTCATACCAGCAGTTGAGTTGTCATCTTCATCTGCAAAATGCGAATAGACACCCGCACATATAAAGCCCGGATCAACACTCAATGTGAGAATGATACCATCTTCTTTGAGACTGGAGCGTTGCCACCCAGTTGAGCTGTTCTTATTCTGCTGTAACTCCACATGTTTCTCTGTTTTACAACGGCAATTAGGATACTGTTCACCAAATTGACGTATGCTTTTTCACCTCATCGATTTTGGTATACCCAATTAGGTATATCTGTTGTTTTTCGCCACTGATCCACAGTCTAATGGGTCCAAATTCCTGGAATATCATGTCAGTTGGTTTCAGCTGGTTGTGTGATTCTACATCATGGACCATAACTACACAGCGGATTGCATACATCAAACTGTTATTCGGCGGCTATAGAGACAATATGACACCTTCGGATTTGGTGGTTTTCTGGGTTTCACAAACTGGGTGCTTAGTTGCTAATGATGGTATTTTGGATATTTGGATGCAGGTCCCCAAGTAAATACCTTGCCAATATACAAGTACCGAAACGTTATACTACTCAACACCTTTACGGCATTTTTACAAAGTACATTAGGAAAGTAGAACTAAACATTATTATGTTAAGTAGACCGTACTTTTTCCACCAGCTATTGTTTTAAAACCATGTGGTAAGGTCGGCGTGCCTTAACTTGGGTTTTAATCTTCATCACCGGCCTTTCATTTCTAGATTATCTGGTTAAAAAACGGCTGAGAGAGAAAGGCGCCGTTTGGTCACGTATTATCGATCGATTTCATTCGGCAGAGCCACCTGGAAATATTTATTTGTTTGTCGGACGAAATCACTGTTTAAATAGTCACGTATGAGTTTAAAATAGGTTTCCAATGACAACTATGTTTATGTACACATGGACTGACCATATTTAACGTTGTCGGATTCACAAGGGATGGGTTCAGTTTAGAAGTATCGATGACCAGCTATCGGTTTTTAAGATCTGCCAGGTTGAGTCAGCTGCTTACTTGGTTTGTCATTTCTTGAACAACAGGATACCCTAGTTATCGGGTTGTGGAAACGAGTCCCAGTTGAGTTATTTTCTTTTCCAGCGACCAGCACAGGTCGCCTACTTAATAGTTTTGTTGCGTCATCCGTTTGACGATGTCGGAAATATTTATGCAATTAAGTGACTGTAGTACGTAAAACGGTTTGGTAGTTGGTAATGTGGTGATCAACAGATCAACAGCCATCTGATCAACAACCAACAGTTTGGTAGTTTTAATTATCGTAGGCACGGTGTTTTTTTTACTGATTAACGCACCCGAGATGTAACTTGGTGGTTTTTATTCACTTTGGGTGTGTGTAGGATGCTACCGATGCTTTATAGTTTTCACTCAGTCATTGGCCTCCATTATTTTGCCTCTCCCGAGAATAACTCCAGCGAGCAAGTCTTCATGCTAGATTGGTGGATAGATATCCAGATTAATATCGGATGACGCGGAAACTAGATGACACAAGCGTATAAAAACACCCGTATTTTTTACATTCATTACATATCATCAAGCTTAAAGACAGTGAAATAAAAGTGCTTGGCTCGGTGGTCCAAAATTCCCTTAGTTTTCCATTTCACCATTCTTTTGTTCGTCTGTAGTCTACTCATCGACCACTGGCTGTTCGTCTTGTTCAATGTGATATATCCAAGATGTACGCAAAGGTATTCAGCTTTTTACAGCCCTATTCAACAACAGTGGTCAACTTGCTTGCTATTATTACCCGTTCTTGTACAATCAAGTGGTGCTTCGGATGCCTCTCCTAGTTGCGTTGCATCTATGCACCAAAAGGGTGCCAAAGCTCTACTGGTATCTGTTGTTTGGTTAGCTCAGACGCCTGCACATGAGGCCTCGTTTGACTTGTTCACCGCTAATTTATTTTACTTGACTACTCACATTCGGTCTCATCCGTAGACTTACCTCGTGGCTAATCTGTCTTTTCTACAAACTGTCATGACTTGAACTTCTCTAAGTGTGGATAATGTGTTCAGCTCACTTGTAACTTTTTAACCATAAGGTATTACGTGGTCCCAGTTTACATCCTGATTGTCGTTGCTCATTTGGGTGTATCGATTGGACCTCATTTTTCAGTATCGTAGGTTTGCTTTGCATCCTGGTTTAGTGCGTTTTTTTGTTACAGCTGCTGGACACATCGCTGATCACTTCATCAAACGACAGTGGAGTGTTCTGGCCGTTAGACGCCTCATGTCTTGCATCGGTCTGATTGGTCCGGGACTGCTACTGTTCTTGTTCTCGGCATCAACCAGTATATCGGCTGCCATAAGGTGAGTGGGTTTGTTGCTATGCTTGCTTCTTTGTTTGCACACGTCCTGGCTACTTTCGATCGTTTCCTTCTCTCAGCCGTTTTTTCCAGACAGTCTTGTTCTTGATCCGTGCTTACAACTGACTGGAAATTGTTACTGGGCATCCTTCCTTACTTGCTTACAGTGCACAACCTGAATGCACTGATCTAACTAGCTGTGTTCCCTTTGCACAGGGAAATTGCTGGTAATTCACCCGACTCTCTGAGAGTTCGATTCGTTCCCTATATTCGGTGGGTTGAGTACACTTGGCTTGTGTACGATCTACCAACGGTGATGTATAACTATCAGATGTGTCAAGATCTGACCATTTGTTTTGTTCATTGTATGTAATCATGGTGATGATGATTTTGTTGTTGTACCAGGTTTCATATGGGATTTCCTGCACCACAACCCACAATTTACCGGTTTGACTATCTCTTGTTGGGAATTTTGATTCTGTACAATGTTTACTATTCTGAGCCGGAAGTATCATATATTTGGACACAAATGTGGAGCATCTTGGTCAGAAGGAGCTGTCTGAGTTCCCCAACATTCCCATGAGCGTTTTATTTGGAGGACGGAACAAAGACCTGCATACTAAAGTAGTTTGGTGGGACTAAATGTTCGGACTAAAACACTGAAAATACTTCTGTCGTTACGTAGGATGAATCTCCGTCTATGGACGAATGTGGCTGGGCTTCTCGGGAACTGCACAATTTTAGTAAAACATTTTTATCGCTCTGAGGCTCGAAAACCTGTTTCTTAACGAAGTCTTGTTTTTACAGTATCTCTTGGAGAGCAGTCGCTCTCGCGAAAAGACTATCTTTACTGACCTGCAAGGCTGTTTTCCGTTAAGCAAAGCCACTGTCTCGATACTCTATGAGTGGCCAGCTAACGGATTGTCTTGCACTACCCAGAACGGTGATCCCCTCGTTTCCCACCCTGTTCTTTGAGATCCCTCCCACATAAAGAAATCACTATCCCCGTCCCGCCAACTTAGTACTGGTTGATGGACGAAATGCCAAGCTACGTAACAGGACTGGGAAATTTTTAGTAACTCCGGCTGCTCTTCTTCCCTATGAGGCTGCTATTTTCTTCCAAAATATAGAAATACGAATAGTATTCAGCATAGCGATTAACCTCTGTAGAGCTGTGACGAGCTGCGATTTTAAAAACTAAGTTAGCCTCTACTGATTACTTATAGCGTACATCCTGAACACTCCTTGATGGGCGTGACAACTGAGGTTTTCATGTAAATAGGTAGTCTCATAACTTGTATGCAATACAGCAATTCATGAGATGCGTTGTGAAGTGGTTAGCCTAGTTTCGGCTCAACGTCAAGTCAGTGGGTGAACGACTGGTTTTGTTGTCGGTTGTCTGATTGAACAACGGAGGCCCTTAGAAAGTGAAGTTATGGGAAATATAATGTTTTGGCCTCTCATAGGTGTAATGAGAACCATTACGCTTAGACCCCTGTGAAATATAGTTAAGGATCACGGTAGTGTTCACCGAGAATCGATGAAGCCACAGGGCATTTTTATGCTCGGTGGTTATGACGCGAGCCTATTGATCAGGTGGCCCATAGTTCTAACCTAACCCGGGCATCTCGACTTCTCGCGGGCAACCCGACAGTATCTCGGCCCTCGTGCTTCCTTCAGGTAGCATGGCAGCTAGACACTCAAAACGTGTTGGTATGTCTCGGCTGGCGCAGCCCTGAATCAAGCCGGTCAATTTAGGGTGGATTATTCTGTCCCCAAGAATATCGTGGAATCTCATGTTACCAATCAATATTATTCTTTCCATTCAGGTTTTCTGCCTTCATATCCTACTCAATAATACTGCAGCATAGGTTGGTGACTCCACTTTCAGTCCCCCACCCACTACGCGTCTCTGTAGCCCGCCAGGGTCTCGTTGAGATGGTAGAAAACCTTCCAGAACTCGACAGGCACAATGACGATAATGGTGATTTGGATAACGACTGGAAAAAATGGTGAATGAAGCCATGCTCACATATTTTGAAATTATCTGCTCGAGATAGCTGGCACAACCCAAGGAGCATTAGATCTGGTCACGATCAGCACCTTGATGGCCGAAAAACTATACCAGCAACAAACGATTAAGATACCACACACAGATCTCTCAATGCCAAATAATGAAGGGCCTAAGGATTGACGAAGTGTCATCATTATCATCATGGACAGCACGACATTGGTGTTCAGCACTGATGCTTCACTTCCGTAGGTGAGAGCAGTGGCAGCTTGTTGTCTTGCTTGCTTCAGAGTGCGCACATTGAAGGCGACCAGATAGACAGGGCGTCGAACCTTGAAGTTTGATTTCGAGATGTCTGAGGATGTCGGCGCTGGATGACGCGCAGATGTTGCTTGCAAAACCGACGCAGGAAAAACGGAGTCATTTGTTTTAAGTGATGTTAATAGTGGGTTGTATAGAGGGGGAAGAAAAAGTATGTGAAAGAGAAAGAAGGGAGGCGTCAGCAGTAGCCTGTTTTCGTTTGCCAGCCCTGCTGTATGCGGTGAGTAAGGCTACCCAGCTGATGGCACCCCGCGACGGCCGGAGTGACATGCGTACATTTGTATATGTGCAGTTCACGTTTGGAAGTTGGCTGGGATATTGCCAGGGCACCTACAGCCAGACAGGAGGACGATTAGTGTCCTCGATTAAAGCCTTGCCGCAAGGCAGCGACGTTTGACTGGAAATGCAAGTAGATTACCATTTTTACGCAACACCTCGTCACACATGTTCCAGCCTTCAACCTAAAGGACCAAGAGACTGTTCATCAGACCTCTAACCACTGACCGACCGGGTATGAGAGACTCTCAGTGTCGCGCGGACACCCCCGCAGTATGGCTCACTGAGTCGCCTGAGTACACAAACCGTCACACCACGGTAACGTTCAGTCACTTCGTGGTGGTTGACAGAGTGTGGTGGATAGAGCAAGCCAGAGACATGGAGAAAGTCTTTTTTCAACGTGAGACAGTCGCACGTATAATGAATAATGATCGTTCAGCCGCAACATCATTTCGGTGTCTAGCTACCATGCCACACGGGCTGAGATACTAACAGGTTCCCCACGCTTAGACAGAGGTATTTGAGATGCCATGGTTAAATTCGAACCACGGTATTTTCGACTAGTAAGTTTGCTCTTTAAACACTCAACTATCTCGGGTTCAATCGCACATTCTTCCAGTTAATTCGATCAACTGGTCCGATGAGGTTCGGTGTTAGTGAAACTATCTCCGAAAATATTGAGCCTTAGTTTATGGGCAGAAACGTCGAAAAAGTTTCTCTGGCCCCCGTCAGTCCAGCCTTTGAAACGACCTATAAATCTGAGTGAAGCGTTGAAGTTAGTCGGCTATCGAAAACGGAAGTCTAGCGTGCAATTTTAATGCTTCATGCAACGTACTACCTGTTCCAGACGGTTTGCAGCGTACGCTTTTGAAAGAAGGTATTCGGCTAGTGGTGACCAACCTAACAATCCTACTCTGAAGAAAGAATAGTTTCAAAACGGAGCGACTCGACGGCGACTATCCCACAAAAATAGGATGAAAAACATCATGTAGAAACCATCGAGATATCAGTCTATTAGCCACAGCTTCTAAGTTACTATAAGGTGTTACTCTATACAAGTTGATGCGACATCAGGAATGTCAGATTTTCGAGAATCAAGTTGGGCCTTAACGGAGGTTGGGCCGGTTGTATTTTAACCTTGACTAGTGCTGCTTCCGGCGACCGACAATCGCCATTTTTCTCCACCTGAAAGCTGTCTTTCACTCCTTTGGTTGTCAGATGTTGTGATGGTGCCTGGCGATGAGGGGTATTGTACGGTTCACTTTTTTGCGCATCCCTTGTTTTGGAATTGTGGTTTATCTGTGTCAACAAACTTCACTAAGTGATTGACTTGTAAGACTCTTATTGTTCCCCCTGGATTCAGTGTGGTGTCACTCGAGCATCAATGTCATCGTTATCTACGTGAAACCTGTCCTTTCTGGATATCTGAAAGTGGTTATTTTAACTTGCGAACGCTGTCCCTGAGAATCTCTGTCTCTTGTCAAGCTAATATATCTGGGGAGGACGAAGCGAAAAGTCTGACTCCAACTTACTATCTTCGTTCACCTGACCATTGGTACGAACACGATTGTGTTACTTTTCTTTCCTGTAAGATGGTTTTTGCAGTAGGTATTGTAATTCATGACTCAAAAATTGTGATTTTTCCCTGCTTCACATTTACAGTATCATCTCTATGTCCATGATTCTGTCGGCCTTCAATTCGGCTGGTCATTTGAGCAACCATGTGGAAGTTGCACCGAACCACGCAGGGATCACATTTGCAATCAGCAATACTTTGGTGAGTTTTCCTGTTTTTCTATCTCTGACTCACCCCCTACTGATTCTGCAGCCAGATCACATGCTTTATGGGTTTGGGGGAAGTTGAGTTTCTGTTTGTACATTTTCCCTCCAAAAAAAACTTCATCTCCAGGATTTCTTGTAATGCTGTCCATCACAAAAGTCAACACTGTGGTACCTCACTTTGGCTTTTAGGTGGCTTCACTTGTGAGGCATCCATCCTTATTAATGATCATCAGCATTTTCAACTGTTAGGTGGGAGGTCATGGGTTTGAGATTCTTTGGGGTTTCTTGAGGTGCGCAATGCTGATAAGAGTGAAAGAGATGTGCAGCGCTTCTCAGCTCTTGAGCATAGATTGGGATCGATGACGAGAAAAAAGCTAAGTTTAAAATCCTTAAATCTGCTCACACTATCAACTATTTCACTTATGTCGCTTGAGGCTCACACGTTATTAAATCATCAACGCCAATGTGGCCACTCCTGTTTGCCTCAACCTTATTCCTGTAACACGCGAGCCTACCTAACCGTGCACTGGGAAAATCAAAACCTTTCACAATTAATGTCTGTAAAATCAAGTTGGCGACAAACCTAATAAGTAGGCATCTACAGCTCAGTGGACGTGAACTGGTCACTTCAGCTATCGCTTCTACCAATCATTATCGACCATCTGACTAAACAGTGTGGCAATTAGGAGAATCTGTCTAACCTTCGGAAAACTTGATGGCTTCTCAAACTGCTTTTCTGTAATTCGTTTTCTCTAGTTAATCAAACATGGATCCTGTTGAACTGGTCTTATATCCTGGTGAATTTTCCGCGCACAAAAATTGGCTAAGCAAATCCATTAAAAAGTCCCTCTTAGAACATCTATCAGTAAATGGCTTACACAACTATGGGGTACACGAGGTTGTTACTTTGCTGAGGGGGAAACGGCCTGAGTAAAAGGTCGCAAAACTACAGTAGGTAGAAGCCCTGGCATGTGACACTACACTCAGAATGAGTACGTGAGGTAGATGTGGTTTTCGCGCGTCACTGAGGAATGGGGTGGACACCAGAAAGAATTCATTGACGGAAGCATCAAAACAGCTGGTATTACTAGACTAATCAACACATTCCTTGAGGTTCCTCTGCATATGGGCACAGGTTTCGGTAATTTGTTGACAGTCTTTCTCGAGGAAAGGGTTGGGATCTACAAATCCAACGAGTGATGATGCAAGCAGTAACCATGGAACAGTGTTTGATGGAACTGAAGACATGCCCAGTTTATTGCACAAAAAGCCTCATGTCAAACTCTCCTTGAGAGCCGTAGAAGACCAACCAAGACTACTTTGTAGGATTACCTCTTGACATTTCACAGTAGCTTTTCTTGGTGCATAGACTGTGAGCACAGGGTTGATATCTACTAGATAGGCCACTGTAACGCCAACCATGCGTGAGATAGAAACACGTAATTAGAAAGCGTTCACCTGGTCAGCTCTCACTCGCACTAATACAGCCTGTTACTGCGGATGTGCCGCAGGCAAGTCGATTGTCACAGCCAGAAACATCATCATCAGCTGGATGAGGAAACTAAAATGGGCAAAATTAGCACCCCAAGTGACATCGCTGCTTGTCGGTAGTGCAAAAACGAAGTGGCTGTTCGTCTATCATAGTTTTTAAATTAGTCTCCTACTCTCTTGACCAGGTTCTGTTCAGCTCCTACATCCACTAAAGACCTCAGTGGTCTTTCTCTGTTGGCGCTATAGACGGTCGATGAACAGCAGGTAGGTAGCCTCTTTTATTCAGTGAAGTAAAATAAGTAGGCTATGTTGTCTGATTTAGAGCGATACTGGTAGTTCGCAAATTCTTAAGGATCTTGGTCAAACATGGTGTCTGCCACTCTTTTGCGGAGTTCTCTTAAACAGCCTCAAGAAGCATGAGCTATTAACCTAAATCTCAGTGTCTTTCTTCGGTACAAGCGTTGTCCTAGCCTCAGACCAACAGTCTTGTATTTTTCTAAACAGGACAGAAATGAAAATCTTATCGCTTCTTTGGAATCAAACATGATGGATAATGAGTACCACGAATTTCCGCTGGCTTCATCTGACATACGTCTTTATATACTTTTACCACTCTAGTCTCCATGATAGTGCAGTTACTCAATGTAGTTGTTGGGCTTGATAGGTATCAAAAAATGACTTTGTATCATGTCAGGGTCAAGGTCGAAAGAACACGATTTCGCCCCATTTCCGCACAGCTGCTTCAGTACCCACTGTTTTTCGTGGCAGCTTTTGTTACCAAGACTCACGTCGGCGTAGATCTTTCTGAGCTGTTCAACTTCTAGCTGGATCATTCGTGCATGTCACTCATTTTCTGTGAGCCTTCTCATCTTTTTCTCTGTAGCTTTTTAAAGATTGAAGAAAAGAATCTGTCAGCCCTGACATAATAGGCGGAAAAAGTTTCTGACAGTATGTTGAAAGATCAGAAGCATAGCTACTAAGAAAATCGAGGGAAAAGAAGAGTTGCCCTATCTGGTAGACTATGCTTTCACTGCAGCTTGTTGAATCTATTTCTCAGGGTACATGATCGGAATAGGCTATCGGAAAAGGGCGATGCAACACAGCTGTGCTCAGCGATGAACGTTTGTTCTAGGTTGGCCTCCTGTGGTATGAGGAAACTGACCTTGGAATGGTTATTGTGCAGATAGTATGGAACCACATTCAAATCGGGGAAGTGTGATACCTCAGCAGATTGTTATTTATTTGCTTTTGATCTATACACTTGAGTAGGCCTTCCTTCTTTTGACAGCCGACCGCTATCCCGACAGCTCTCTTTTGAACTGACTTGTAGCCGCACTCCCTCGTGAGACTACAAAACTTTTATTGTGGTCTATTGTGATTGCCTGTGTTTGTCGTATATGCCTCGCCCCATTGACTATTTCACAAACTGAGCTGCACCTGGCTTGCGCAGTTTAGGGAGATATACCAGCGATGGATTTTGGTATTACCAACCAGTGTATTGTGTCGTAACTTCTACGAGGACACGAGTGTGCGATTACTCGGTAGTTCAGCTGGCACAACCGTTACTTCTTAAAAAAGAACTCTGAACTTCTGGAAGAAGTGTTCCGAATTATTGGAGAATCGTGGCCTGACGTCTAGATGAGTACGTGTGTCGAGCTATATGTACACCGTACAAACAGTTTACAATCCTGATTTGCAGTTCGATAAAGGACACGTAAGGCAGATCGGTATCGGGTTTCTTGTGAGCTGCAGCGATCTCATGGGGTTGCGACATTTGGAAACTCAACTAATCTCTGTAGTATCGTTTATGGCACAAGACAGCCACAAGCAACGTGCCTTCTCAACTGCACAGCATTCAGATTTTCACAGGTTTGTAGCTGTTGTCTGAACCCTCAAGACTTGTTCTACCGGTAAAACGATGGGAAGCTGACTGCCAGAAAAGTTGAGATGAAATGGCGAATGAGCTAGTCGCAACTATCTCGGAGCTCGGTTTCCAGTATCAGCGAATTCCCTAATCTGAAGAAAGGGTGTGATACAACTGAAAAGTTTTCTCAGAGGTTAACCAGGGGTATTAGTGACAATCCAAAAAGCCAGCCTAAACTCCAACGTAATCCCAGTGAGTTCCCGTTGTCCATCACTGCTGCATCAACTTGTTATCGCTCTCTCCTTGGGTTTCATTTCATGTCTGAGAATCGACAGTTTCTTTAAACAGCCGTGTTTCCAGTATCAGCGAATTCCAAGATTTTGAATGCTTGGATAAGGTCACCCGTTCGCCTTCTCATCTACAAAAGGAACAGGCCTGTTTCAGTAACGGTGTCCTATGAGACGGTTGTCTAACCATCCAGTACACCGTCGCTTAATTTGTTTTATACTCCATGTCTTCTTTCCGGATCCCAAAACTGTGCATCATACTCAGTGTGACGTATAATATCAAAGATCTAGCGAAGAAGAATCACCTTAAGTAGAAATTTTCGCTGGGTTACGAAGTGATTCCAGACTACACCTTCTTGATTCTCCAAAGCCTCCAGTGGATAGTGAATAACTTGTACAGTCCCCAGGTACTTCTTTCCCTGTTTAACTTTCGAACGGGCTAGTGTGTCTGGTCGGAAATGTCTATCCGTAGTATGTATATCTGGTTCTATGGCGATTCTATTTCTCAAATGCGCAAGTTGATTTGCCTGACTGCGTATGCATATTCAGTAGTGATTTATTGACCGGGGATCCATCTTTTTCTATTTTCTATGTTCTTATCAAAGCGGTTGATTGTAATTTAGTGACAACCGTGATCATGTGGCAGTCAGATTGCTTGACGGAGGATTGGTTGTACAATCTTGTTTTAATAGGGGTTTAATGACGCACATACACCGATGACACACACACGCACTCTTTGACTTTATCGAATGAGTACCAGATGAAATCAACCTGAATCGTATAGTGGGCTAACACTATGCACTGAACTGTGTCCGTTCACCAGGATTGTTTTGTTACTTCGATTAGTTCATTCAATCACTCGGTCGTCATTATAAACCGTTCTTGAAAAATCTACGATTTCATCGAGTTTAACTGCCCAATTTGGATAGCTCGATAACTTTCGGGACTCATTACCCACGCATACAAATATAGCCTGCTACAAATCGATTCAACCATGCAGACCCCAATTGGGGTACTTACACCGACCCTTGCATAGATATGTACACTATTCGGACGGCGGTCCCGAAAGTGTTGGTGGTAACGGTGAGGCAAAGAACCATTCTACCATGGATCGTCTACGCTGGAACTACACTCGTTTTCTGAAGAAAAGTTGATTTCAAAGTCGGAGAAAACCCTGACGAAAATTCTCGGTTTCAGTTATCAGAAAGTGGTGGTTGGTCGTGCATTTGAGAAATACCTCCAGTACCACAGGTTGCGAAGACTCACTGGCATGCTACGTTATGGCTGAGAAGGTCCGTGTTTTCCACACCGGATTCGAGGTTTACAAAACTTAAGAAAAGACAAAGTTGGATTCACAAGAGAAGAAAGGTCTCGGCGTTGAGGGTATGATCCGACTCCGTGACCCGAGCCGCGTGGCCTTCTTGGAGCTTGGGTAGAGATTCTGGAGAATATGGCTCTCAACCGATGTCAGTGATGCTGATGCCGTCGGTTTCTGCTCAAATTTTGTTGAGGTGATGGAAATTTTGGGTTTTGTCAGCGACTAGATTTGGCCCCCTAGCTCTCTTCCATTTTTTAAAAATTCTATTAGGTAAATTTATGCAATTTTACGGCAGTGGAGCACCATTGTCTGACGGCAGTGTAGCCGCCAGAGCTGCTGTTCACAGTTCGTTATAATCGTTTAGCTGTTAGCTTTCTTTCAGTGCCTGACTGCCATGCCACTAGAAGGAAGCACGAAGGCTGGCATACTGCCAGGTTGCCCAAACCTAGACAGAGGAAGTCGAGAGGAAGAGGTCGGGTTCGAACCACGGACCTTCCGGTCAGCAATTTCGCGCTCCAACCACTTTGACCATCTATCCCCGTTATATCGTTTCATTAATGAGAAGGTTGAACAAAAAGTGGAGGGATTTTGCATCCCTGTCGGACATCGCTGCATCTTATACATCCTCATACGCCTGCACTTCGTGAACACAAACAACCTGAGTTTTTTACCAATTCCTGGAGCGTACCGCGTTGTTCAAACGTGCTTAGGAAAGCTATTTGGTACACAGTATCGTGCCCAGCATTGGAGCAAGGGAACACGATTGTCTAAAACATTCCCGCATTACCCATTCGAACACGGCAATACGAGGACAGAGTGTTCTTTTATTTAGCTAGGGTTTCGATTCATGAAAGTCCGTGAAACGGTAAAACGGAACGAATGAATTCCGTTTTTAGGTCTATGACAAACGGAGAGATTGTGCACACAAATTAAGTCGGTATTGATTGGTCCCTATGGCCTCACTAGTTGCTAGCGCTTTCAGGTTCTCACTGTACATTAAAGCACTGAACTTTGTTTTTGGGTCAATCTCTGTGACCGGTGTTTGGAATATGCTTAAAATTGATCTGACGGGTTTATAGGTTTTAGGGTCAAAAGCGGAAGGCCGGAACTATTTCTTAGCCCACGTGGGTTGAGCTCAGTCCAGTTACCATACCTACATCTGTCACCTTATCGTGGTGTTCGTTTTTCAATGTGTCAGTGGCCATCATGTGCTCGTGGTACACCGAACACTTCAAAGAACTGTACAACAAAAACGATTAAACATGTTGGGTTACCACTCTGTCTCAAAAGGGTGACCAAACTATTTGGATGTTAATTCTTCCTGACGAGCGCCATTTGGTCCATTGGAGCGTCTTAAATACCCAGAGCGTTATATGTCATCGCCATCGTCGACTGTGATACACTGAAACCTAACTGCCTTACAATCTAGTGAAGACCAGAGAAAAATAGAAGGCATGGGGACTTCGTGCACTTGTTCCGCTCTTGGTGAGAACTTTCTTTAAAAAGTGCCCACACCCTAGAACAGCAAATAAAATTAACTTATCTGAAAACCAAGTCTACGTAGAACTCTGTAGGCAGCCTTGACACAGTATCCTTTGTACGCTGACTTGATCCGTCCCACTACCGTCGGAAGCAATGCGACTTCCGAGGAACTTACAGTGTTCTACAATTTCTATCTTGGAATTCCTGGGGGTATGTTTAAAGGTTGTAAGTTCCACAAAATAACTTTGTACTTTGTGGATCGAAGCACACGCTTATGAACTGGACGACATTGGAGGGTTTTCCAAGTTACCTCTTGTCCTCACCCGTGTTTCAAGAGNTTTCCAAGTTACCTCTTGTCCTCACCCGTTTCTCAAGAGTGAGAAAAATCTGGCCTACAGATTCCATTTTGGTAGGGTTCTTGCTCGAAGAGATCCGAACACTGGGGTTTTGGGGACCACTAGAGTTCGTGTGACTTCACTGTTCGGGTAGCTTTTTGTACCCACAAAGCTCATCAGTTGGAGTAGCTTTTGGACACTTCAAATTTTTTCGCTTCCCCCATCTCTTCATTCTGATGGCACCGAAACCCTTATTCGGAGGATGCTCTTTTCCGTCTGACTTTGAAATCCAGAAAGAGCAGTAATTTTCCAAGTTACCTCTTGTCCTCACCCGTGTTTCAAGAGTGAGAAAAATCTGGTCTACAGATTCAACAATTGGTCCACGCCACCTGCGGTTAGTCACAATGTGGTCTACGTGTCTATACGCCTTGTATGTGGTGAGTAAGGCAGCCGTGTGTCACGAAAGTACTATGATTTATGTAGATTTTAGTTGTCCATTAGATGAGGTGCTTTCAGGGAACTCAGATTAGAGAACCTTCGACTCACAAACCTGACCCAGTGGCACAGGCTTCTAATGAGCAAGACTCCAAATCTGTTCCAACTCGAACGCGAGACGGTGTCACACCAGGGTGCGCTGACCATTCTGGTCGGTGGAACTAGGTACAGCTCAATGGGTTCTTGAGACCGTGCCTCAAGAGAAGCTTCAGTCGTTTCTTAGTGGTCGTAAATGCTCATCAGAAATTTTATTAATTAAAAACAACACAACTAGTCGAAGTCTATTTATTTGAATGGCTGAAACCGCTAGCTTATTGATTATAGGGTTAAACCGTAGTACAACGTAAAAATGAGGAAGTATGGTGGACTACACCGCTTCCTTTCCTTTTTATTGTCTGTTCTCGAATCTTGTTGCCCATGAATTTAAATGACATTTGCTAAAACCAACAGCAGGGAACCAGCGACAACCGAAATATGCGTTAGTGTTGTTCTATGCATTCAAAAATTAACTTAGCTGATAATATCAAAAACAACTCCCCTCTCATCAGCTTGTCGTTGTGTGTGCCACATTAGCTTATAATTGCTATATGGTTTTCCTCTTCTCTTTGTAGGCTACTATTCCTGGAATCCTTTGCGGTCCGTTGACAGCAGAATTAGTGGTGGCCTCTGGAGGTCGGTGGTTCCCCGTTTTCCTACTTGCTGGCTGTGTGAACCTGGTTGGAGCAGTGATCTATGGCAGTCAAAGCTCCTCGATGCAAGTACTGTGATCAGTTGATGACGGAAATCGTTCGTCCCTCCCCACCTCCAACTTTCACCCCGTCTACCTGTATCTTTAATTTATTTGAAGCGTTTTCTTTGCTTCTAGAGTGTGTACTACTTTGTATACTATTCGCCGCTGTCTGAAGAGGGTAGGGAAATGAGTTCCACCTCTGCTTGGCGTTATCGTTCAGTTTTGGTCGCGATATGCTTATTTTTCTATCGACAACAGGCAGATAGTTAGGCTCGAGAAACGAATGGATTATTTAGGCTCATTGCGTGCCCTTGACCAAACTGTAACTGCGGCGATAAGCAAGAAACCTAATAACTGAGTAGATTGAAAGTTATTCCTGAGCGTAGCTCAGCTGTTTTTGTAGTCTGTGCTGTGAGGTCTTCGTAGTCCAAGAGCGATCCTGTCTGACTAACTTCATGAAACTTCGGTCTCATAACCAGTCCATGGTAATTGTACCTTATAGGGCTGCTATCTTATATTCACCAATCAGCTTTACAAAGCTTAGTGTAGACATTGAGTTTCTTGTCAGCTGCCACAAGGAGATGGGGTTTGATCTTCTTCAAGCATAATGTGCGCTCTCTAACTTTTTTTAGTCCGGTTAGGATGGACAGTAGACAGTATTCAGTCTTTGTTTTTCGGAAACACATGACCTATCAGTCCAGTTCGAAAGGACGTATATCATGGGGAGTTCTTACTGTGGTACACTACCCATAACCGTCCATAGAGATCATCGATTATTTGAGCCCTAAAACTAATCGGAATATAGGATAGCGGTACTGGGCCAAGGTCCCAATTTGGAGTCCCAAACTAGATTCGAAGGCTGTGTTCGAAATGTGATTTGGAGTGTACAGTAAAGCTCCTGGTCTATTTGGCAGGGACCTCCGTGTTTATCAACAGAGCGCTACCGTCCTTATCCAACTATGAATCGCCTGGATAACGAAATCCTGCGCAAGTCGATCACCGTGTTCTCAATCAATCAAAGTTCGATATTTTCTATTCTAGCCTGGGCAGTGAGGGTATAGTAAGTTCAAGCTACAGTTCTTCTCACGTTCACCACTGAAGCTTCTTGTGCCGCATCAGATAGCAAGTAGCTTTACAAAGCGTTTTCCCAATGGAACAGGAACGAATAACTTGGCGGAATTTTTTCCGACCAGGAGGTTTTAATTGACCATTAAGTTCTCGGATGATCAACAGACCATGGGTGATCTGTCCCAGTGCTTCAATAGAATTTATGGTATGTCGTCGCCTACCTTGAAGCTCAAGCCCACAGTCTTAGCCCGTTCGTGTGTGTCGTAGCCAGACCTAAAGCTGCTCTCTTGACGTGGTGGTCGGACTTGAGTACGGCAATGATTCCGCGGGCCACATGGGCTGCAATTTCGCTCCAAAGGGTGCAACCATGCCAGGAATGCTGAAGGGAAGCAGCAAGACCCCGTACAACGAGTAATCATACTGCGATGCGATCTGGGGGTAAAGTCGTAATGTCTTCTACGATAGGAGTGTCAGGACAGGAAGGTGTTTCCCTCAGACGATTGGCATATCCATATTTAGGTGAGCAGCGATGCTGCTTTCTCCCCGAGAAACGACAGGCTACAAAAGGTCAACCCTAAAAACCGCACAGTCCAATCACTTAAGGATCGGCCGTGACCGCCTGTTCATTATCCAATACGGTCGAAATACTTTTAAAACGAGGAAGTCCGGTGCTGCTCAAGACGCACAGCCGCACCATGAATGAGACAGTAGTGCCTTATTAACTGCATCCTTTGGTTAGGCTAACTCCCTGCAACCGAGCAATCTATCGGGTCCTCAAAGAAAACCCTACTGTCCGCCTCCGCGCGGGTCAGCCCTTTGATTCAGATGCTTAAGGTGGGGTAACTCGACCAAATCCTGTTCTTTGGCCTGTGCTGTATCATTTGCCGGCGCATTTCTGCGTCCACCAATGTCCCTCCCCACCACACAAGCAAACTTCGCTGGGTCATTTGACTGTCAGTTATCCGATCAAAGAGCCTTACGTTCCTCATTGCCTAATAATAAAAAATAATTCCTTTTTAAATACCTAAAATTGATGTATGCTATGTTATGCTATGCTATACAAGGCCCAATCTTGGTTATGCATCTCCGAACGCCGAGGACGAACTCAACTGTTTCGCAGCTCTCCCTCCGTATGTCTGGTGACCAAGAAGCGATGAGTGGGAGTAGCACTCGGCACTTTGTTGGATTGGATCCTAGTGAACAGTCGTCTTTGCGCCGTCCGGTTATCAAGCTCAACGCTCGTCATAAAAGGCGGTGTCTGTTTATAGTGCCGGTCTTCGACCCAACGGACTGTAATTCTGACGCTGAGGGGATGCTTTCTATCAAGAGTTATTGGGGTCTGTTCGTGGAGCAAGAAGTATGGATAGTGTGATCCTTGCTGACGACATGAATATCTAAGTCGGTCGTGTGAGCTCCTTGGAATCACATTTGGGCGGTCGATTCAGAGTGAGGGCTCGTCGCACATACAGGGTGGAGCGACTCCTTTAGTAGTGTGCTGATCATGAAGTGTTTCTGGCAAGTACGAACTTCCAACATGAACGTTCGCATCGCGTGACCTGGCGGTCACCAACTGCAAGTCAACCGTGGACCCAGTTGGATCATGTGGCCATCAGTCAACGGTGGACAGCCACAAATCAAGACTACCGTTCCTTCTGGAGCAAACTACTTGATTCTGATCAAACTATTGTGCGTGCACGCCTGACAGTTCGCTTCCCTTTAGGCCATCGCAAGTTAGCAAAAGGCATGCCAATCCACCATCTTCGGAGAACTAGTAAAGCTCAACAGTATCGACCTGAGCTAGCCCAATTGTCCACAGTAAACTAACACTCTGGCGGTAGTGAGCATTTGGATGAACGTAGCAAAATGTGAAAGCAGCGGCGTCCACGGATGTCTGTCCGACTTCTCCAACTCAACCACAAGACCACTTGATGTTGTCGAGATCGCTATCCATGATTGCTACCAGGAAATCCATACCAGCAGGCAACGTGTACAGCGGCACACGCAAGTTCGTCAAACGCCAAATAGTGAAGAGGTGGAGAAGGTCTTTGGTATGGGAAACAGCCGTATCCTTCATCAATTGATACGATCAACTGCCCCTGGGAGACCAAAGATAAGTGAAAAAGATGGGATAGCTGGTTGGTGGAGACCGTGTGATCAAGCGATTTCTGCTGCTTCGGAGACCTGTGTGGCGATGGAACATTCTGTGACTGTAGTCGGTGTTTTGTGTTGTCCGTGCGTCTCCTGTCTAAACGCAGACGACTAACCAATTGAGCCTCAGCAGCGCCAGACCTGCCTACGTGAGCGTTCTTGTCATCAGCGACCATAATCCCGTCATCCCATTCTCTCCAGTACCCCAACACCAATCAGTTACGTTTTGGAACTAGTTGACTCTATCGTTCAGCTTGAGTGCTGATCTCATATTGCTCGTGCACGCTGGGTTAGCGTTTTGTTTGGATGAGTTTGTGAAAAGTATGGAGAACAAACGATATTTTGGCTGGATTCTATGAGCTAATAAATCCTGTCCTTATATCACACCACGTGACAAAGTGACATGAAAGCAGGTATCGGAAGATTAAAAACAAGTTACTGCTAGACCCAGGACACAGGGATGTGACTAAGAAATCTTGGGTTGGATCATCGGATCGCTGAGGGACCTAGGCTTTAAATATTAAAATGAAGCGAGAGATAACAGTGGGAGAATAATCGCGTTTATCTTAAATGACATACTCGCCGTGTTTTGCTGTGCCGTCTTCAGACTCCAAACTTAAATAGTAAACCCTTTTTGTGAAAATGAGTAGCCCATGGTACGCCCCACTATATTTTCTCAGGCATTGCTCCATTACGTAATCAGCATCGTGGGTTATAGTGCTTACGTGCAGCCCTGTCGTACTCTCTTGCTTATAATTCTGTCACGTGACTGCTTACGTTATGCGTCAATCAGGCCTGGTGGTAGTTTTGTATGACAGCTTAGCTGATGTTCCGTCATCCGACCTACCGAGCAAGTGCTGCGTAAAAGTAATTGAAACATGTTACTTTAGACGGTCTGAACACTTTGCAATGTTCAAGTACTTACGGCAGGGTGAAATCTAGCGGTGTTTAACTCAAGAAAAAATATTCCTTGACTTGGGCTGTTTTTCACACGCTCTCTGACTGTGCAACGACTGAACTCCCACTCACAATTTGAAGTCAGCACCCACACTGTAACATCTATAGCTTAATGCCATGTGGTAAGGGAGCCAACCTGTTCAGAATTAATGCTCAAAGATCGGAGTTTAGTTCACTCGAGGTTGTAACAGAGTTTTCAGACCTCCAACCTTGGATGGACACGATCACGATTGAGGTTGAAAATTAGAGAGAGTGCTTTATCATATTGGGGAACATCAATCCGAAGGGTTCTTATGATACTGCCCAAATGAGCATATGAAAGAAGGTAATTTCAGCACTTCACATTCGGTGGTTTTTGGAGCTACACTTGTGAAGGACGACATGCAATTAACACTAAGCGATGGAGGGTGGATTACAAGTTTGTGGGGCAGTGCTCTAAATTTCCACCATCCCCGTTTCGTGAGTTTTGGTGGGCGTAGAACTTACCCAAACTGAAGAGCCGTGATTTGCCGCTTAACCCTTGATACGATGGTTACTTTCCCTCGGTGGTCAGTGATGTACTGAATAGCTGATCGTCTGCAGTCCAAACCAGTCTTCGACTTCAACTCAGTACCAAATGGAGGAATTAAAGGCAAAGAAGCAAAAACTGAGGAGGAACGTCTTCTCGACACCGACTCGGGGTGTATCGGTGTTCGACTAACAAAGAGTGGGAAGACTTTTTATTTCCCCAAGAATTCCTGGTACTACGCGGATTATACGGTAAACGACACCACTTCGATCCCCTCAGATAAGTGTAGTTCGCCAAATGGACACAGATTTAGTTAAACACCCGTGTTACTTATGGTGGTGTTTGCATACGACTCCAGTGAACATGTGTTCTGTATTAGTCCCCAACATTAATTCGTGCTCAAAAGCTCATTTGCTTTAATTAGGCTGACATTCAGTTCAAAGAGGTATTCTACCTTGACACGATAAAAACCCGAATGCCCACTTCAGGGTTCGTCCAGGCATGCGCTGTCCCCTTCTAGTAAATTAAGGAACAGATATACGCTGTCTTGAATATTGGTCCAAA